TTGTGTTTTATTATCTTTGTCAAGTTTAATAGTTTTTAATTTAGGGTTTTTGTGTTGGTAATCATATGCACTATGTAGGGTCAAAGCAAGACTTTTTCAAAAGTCTATTAGTTGTCTGGATTAAATTGGATTGAAGCATCGATAATTCTACACAGTAAGTAGGTTTAAAGTAAAGATGTTTCTAACCTTATTGGTTGTGTGGACTAAATTGCATTACAAGGTTTGCAATCTTGGACTTCGTAGACAACAAATAACATAATTGCATTGAGGTCTTGCGTTTGTAACGAGTGTCGTTGAAAATGTTGAATTATTTTTGCATGTCACAGATGACTGGAATAGGTTGGAAAATTATTGTCTTCTTGTCTAAGGAACACTTGTAATTCACACACAACTATATACTGATTTGTTAATCAATGGACAAAGTATTGCTAAATTGAAAAAGTATTTTTGTGTAGGGCATATGGGTATTAACCGTGTCGGGTTAAATGGGTGACAAATGAAAAACCAATATACTCGTGCATGACTCGTTTAAATAAACGAGTGAAAAACTTCAAACTTTAATCTAATTGTTTAATAAATGAATTACACAACACTATTGGTCTAACCCATTTATTTTAAACAAAACAAATTGGGTAGAGTCGGGTTAATATGGTAACCCTTTACACATCCCACCCGTTAGACCCATTTGTTTAAAAATATTGTATACCTAAGTATAAAGCTAACAAACTAACACAAAAAATGTTATATACACAAAAAAGGCATAAGACATTATCAACAGAAGTAATCAACCAGAATTATATACATCTAATAATAAAACATAGATCTGTTATATAGATCGAATGTGGAGAGAAATACACACATAAATTATATAGACCGAAGGTGGGGAAAGATAGAGAAAGAGAGCCCAAAATCTACAACCAACTACACACAGAAGAGAGCTCCATCTTTCACTCTAAGAGAGAGAGAAGCCACGTAGCGAGCGATGGTGGGGAGGCAAGAGGCAGGCAGCGACCGATAAGAGACGAGAGACAATAGACGATAGACGAGTGACAAGTGATGGGAGAGAGAGAGGGAGATAAGCCAAAGTTAAGTCATAAGTACCAAACCTTCAGGCTTCAATTGGCTTGAGTCATGGAGGTTGGAGGCTAGCGACGAGAATGGCGATAGACCTAGAAGAGATAGAGTTAGGATTAGGAATTAAGAAATATTTTGTTATTTTGACTTATATATTTTCTGGCTAATTTTTTTAATAATAATTATTATTATTATATTAATTTTATTCAAATGGGTAAACGAGTAGAAACCTAAATCCGTTTAAAATTATGTCGATTCATGTCGGTTAAACGTTTCATGTCGAATTTTTACAAGCCTAATAGAGTGTATGAGATGAGATAATAAATAAAACTCTAGTTGTGAGAAGATATAAGGTGGGTTATGTATTAAAAATGTGTATATAGCATTAGGTAGGTTTAGTTACTTATGGAGGTGAATATAGAAAGAGTGAGTTTAATAGTTTGATAATAAAGATTTTAATAGAGTGAGAATGGATATTTATAGGGTGCGAATATATATATATATATATAGAAGTCACCTAAGCAAGTAAATGATAGAAACTACAGTAGATAAGTGCATCGGTTCTTGCTATCGATTGTCGTTCTTCTTCTCTCCTAGGTAGAAACTCAAGGATTCTTTCAACAAGCAGAAATTAGCATCTTCATTCACCTAGCAGACAGATAAAATACGTTCTTACCTATTCTAGCTTATTACCTTCAAGTAGGAGGAATGAGAGAAAATACATATAAGACAAATTCCAGAATCCCACATTGGTTCTTAGGGTTCTTTTGGATTCATTTTCTCCTATAAATAGATGAAGAGCTTCATTCACCCACTCAAGGTCTCAAGAAATCATCTCAAAAGAGAAGGCCTGCATAATGAGAACTTTATATATAAGAAGAAGAAATAAAAGGAATGAGGGAGATGATGTTCAAATGCAAACTAAGCTTTACTCCTAGCACTTTATCAGAAACTCAGCTTCTGATAGAAATTGAGATACTAAGAGTTTGGTTTATCAAATGCAACCCTTGTTTGAACGTGACTTGCTCTCAATAGTTTGGCATAATACTCAAAAAATCTTAGAATCGAGATACTAAGAGTTGGGTTCGTTTGTTTGAGTTTTCTCTCTAATAGCTATATTGTTCAGACCTTCTAAGAGGCCATTGTATTAAAGTGTTATATACATTCATAAAGTGATGCATGGAACACTATAAATAGAGTTCAAGTGTAATAATAAAGTATGATGAAAATTTACTCCACTTTTTCTCTTTTATTCTAAAACTTCAATATTTTCTGATTTTTTATATTCGGGTGTTGTGTTTGGTTCGAAGATTACCAAGGAGTGCAATTATTGATAATCTCAAAGTTATGTATTATATCTTGGAGGTAGAATTTCTAAGAGTCTATCTGCAATATAAATGGAGAAATTACTATCTCAAAAATGGCGAGTGTCATGCCTTATTTACTGATCTATCTTCTTCGTTTTTATTTATTGTCTTTCTATTTTTGAAATTGTTTACCACAAATTATTCTACAACAATTAGCCCTACCCATCCTAGCTAAATAAACAAACCATGGTTTCCAGATTTTAAAAAATAAAAATAAAATAAAAAATCCTTAGTTGGAGTTTAGGATAAGTCAAAGGTACATAACTAATTTTACTCTCGGATATCTTAAAAAAAGGTGATTTTTAGTCACAAATATTGTTGATTTCTTTGTAACAGTTGATCAAGAAAATAATAAAGTAAAAAATAATAAATTATTAAAAAAATACTAATGTCACTTTACAATTGGCTCAAAAAAAAAAAAGGGTGTCGGCACCAAAATAACAACTTAGGAACCAAGGTCTTAGCTTTGATTTTGCTGCAAATCATCCTTTCTAATCTAAAGCCTTTAAAAGCTGATTTGGTTCATCTACCATCCACCTAGCACTGAAAACCAAAAAAGCCTCTTCGCTCACTGTATACATGCTGTCATAGTGTCATAGGCCTGTTACTACTTACTCCCAATTATTATTCTTCTCACCAAATCATGTGCACTGAGCAAGTTGTTATCAAGGAAGCTATAAACAGAAAAGAAGCACATAAAAATCACCTATCGCTCAAAAAAGAATGTCAACTCTTCTAGGAATATAGAATACTTAGGATTTATCCTGGAAAATGAAAGAAGAAAAATTAGAATTTCGATGTCCTGGGATAACTTTTGTTTTTTTTTTAGTTGAGTCGAATGTATGCATGCATGTATGTATGTATGTATGTTATCTTTTCCCTTGCTTAGTCTGCCACAGTTTAGTAACTCTTTTTTGTTTAAGTAACGATTTTAAGAGAAAAATCAAATACTATATAAATAATATATTAATGTATGTGTATACATATATCTCTATCTCTACTACTATAAAAATACCTTAAATAAAAAAAAAAAAATTGTTTTCACTTTTTATCCTTGACTTATGTTTTAATTACTAATTTCTTCCTCATCAAATAACTACTAGAATTCAATAACACATAAATATATTGGTAAATTATTTGAGACTTTTTATATTCATGTTGTCTTTTGACCTCCTCTAACATAAAATTAATTACATTTGAGACTTTTTATATTCATGTTGTCTTTTGACCTCCTCTAACATAAAATTAATTACATTTACATGTACCAAATCATGAAAACTTTTATTTTTTTTTTGTTTACTCCTAATTATTATTCAATATTAGTTCTGTTATTTATTAAGATAACTACTACATTTAGTCTGCACTACATATACCCATTAATCATTCCAAGTTTTTTTATATTTCTGTCGTTTATGCAAGTAGTTGACAGGCAAAACTAAAAACTCATATTCTGAAGTAACATCTAGATTCTCTAAATTCTAATAATCATTGTTTGTCTAATGCTCTATTTGCAAATTCTATGTCTTTTTTCGACGATCGCCAATCATTGATCTGTCAAATAACCAAAGTCGTAGACTTTCTCCCTCTCAACTATCATGTATACAAATCATTCTTGAGCTCTATAGTACATTTGATTTGTTTCATTGACTGGTTTACCCAATCAGTTTTTTCTGAACAGAAGCTCTCACGGTGAAAAGTAATGTGTCGTATTTAAATCATGAAAAATAATGTTTTTTAGGCACCATTTGTTTTGCTTCCTCATGAAACAATTACGTATATTTTTTAACAGTGATCTCAAATATATATATATTTGAGGTATTTTTTATAAAGCAATATATATTTTTAACAGAAAGCCAAATGTAAAATTATGAAAAATCTTGTTGGACAATCAACAGAAAATATAGAATCTCTCGAATTTTTATTATTTTAAAAATTTTAATAAACAACTTTGGAATGGTCCAACATTTAAGTTATTATTTCTGATTTTTAACCTGACTGTATATGTCATTAATTATTTCATTTCTTGGTATAACTTTGTCTTTCTTCTTATATGTAAAATTGATCATTTTGTAAGTTAGTTATGTGCTAATTGCTTGTAGCATCTTAGATTAAAAACTTCATTATGCAATCAGCTCTTATAAGTATCAATATTGTAATTGATATCGTTTCATAATATTTACAACACTAACATGTAAAATTTGATATTAAAATGATCCTCATGTAATACACGTATTCATCAACTAATAACTATAAATATGAGTAAAAATATAAGTGAAACTAAAAAAATACTTTAAAAAACGTTACCAAACACAGAGCTTTCTTTTCCCATGGTGATGTCAATAATTAACACAGCTCAGGTCATCTGATGGATAATGATTAGTTGGTTACCAACTCACAGGACTTTTAGTTGACTGACTTTTAACCCAAACCAATTACCTACTTCACAAACTAAATTTAATTTATAGATAGCTCAGTTAAACAAACCTTAGTGACTAATCACTACCCATTTTTCCTTTTTTAACTCATTGTCTTCACAAGAAATATGAAGAAGCCACTGCCATGGACACCACTTTCACCATCAATGAGAGATGGACACTCTGCGCATTTGCAAGTTTCATCAGCTTCTTCATCCTCCTCCTCTGCCTCAATCACAAAAACAACCTCGTTTATTTCTCGGCTCCTCAAAATGTCACAACACCAGAGGGTTTGCAAGCTATAGAATCAACCTCAGACAATCGTCCCACATCGAACAATGAATTCTCGAGACCATTAAGCTCGTTTCAAAATAGTAAATCAATTAACCAAACACATGCCAAGTGCGACATCTTTGAAGGAAGATGGGTTTATAAGCCTATGGAGAATCCATTATATGATGTGTCCAAGTGTCCATTCCTTAGTGACCCAGTAAGCTGTCGGAGGAATGGACGGCCAGATTTCGACTACGAGAAATGGAGTTGGGAGGCTAGAGATTGTGAAGTTCCGAGGTAATGCAGAAATGGTGATTTAGACAACTTCATGTTATTTGGTTTCGATTGCACATAGTTATGAGAAAAGAAAAGTGATGTTTTAAGCTTTGGTTTTGCAAGGTTCAATGGCATTAACATGTTGGAGATGCTTAGAGGGAAGAGAGTGATCATAGTTGGAGATTCCCTCAACAGAAACCAGTGGGAATCTCTTGCTTGCCTCCTTTATTCTGCAATTCCATCCTCTAGAGCTCATCTGGATTTTCGAAATGGTTTGTACAAAGTCTTCAGAGCAAAGGTAACGCGTTTCTATAGCAGAAGTTTCACCTCCCTAGCTTCATCAACACCAGTTACCCCACCCCAAAAAAAATAAAACCCCCCAACTGTTTTGATCCTCTATTTACTTTTTGTTGTTTTTTACGCATTAGTCTTTCACTTCCATATTATCCATCTATTTGGATCATATTATTTTCTAAGTTGTATCTTCCCCCTTTTCTTTTTCTTTTTCTTTTTCTTTTTCTTTTTTTTTTTGTAAAAAAATTGCTTGTCTTTCGAGGTTTTAGATTAGATCATCCGCACATTATGTTAAATTTAATAGGTCTAAGCAGATCCACGTGTTATTAAATTCCATGTCGATTTTGTTATGGAAAAGTGGATAGACCCTACTTTAGATGGAAACAGAGGCAACAATGATCAGAAGCCTGATGTTCAATCAGTTAAAACCTCACAGAACAAACATTTTCACTGTCACAGGACTACGATCTCTCTGTAGAGTTCTACTGGAGCCCCTTTCTGGTGCAACTAGATAAATACCAAGCCAACGGCACTAAAATCCTGAGGCTAGACCAACTTGAAGCCTCATCCATGCATTGGCAAGGCGCTGACATTATGGTCTTCAATACTGGCCACTGGTGGGTGCACCGAGGAAAGCTCAGGGCGTAAGTTTCATTTATTAAGTTCAATTCTACACTATCTGTTTGGGTATAAAATTTGATAAAATCTCTTCTGACGGGTGAAAAAAAATTGTAGTTGGGACATGTTTCATTACGAGGGAAAATTGGTGGAGGAGATGAAGATAGAATCAGCACTGGATATGGCAATGAAGGCTTGGGCGTATTGGATCGACAACAACGTTGATTCAACCAAAACCACTGTGTTTTTCAGGAGCATTTCGCCAGAACACAAAGGTAAGCATTGGTGCTACAATGAAACCAAACCCATCACAGATGAGTCCCATGAAGAATCATTTCCGAGACCCCTGATGGACATAGTTGAGAGGACAATAAGGGGAATGAGAATGCCAGTAAGGTTCCTGAACATCACAAAGCTATCTCAGTATAGGAGAGATGCACATACCTCGATTTTCCGAACAAGGGCAGGGAAGGAATTGATAGAGAAGAAGCAAAAGCAAGCCAAGTCTTTCGCTGATTGCAGCCACTGGTGCCTGCCTGGATTACCAGATACATGGAACAGGTTGATGTATGCAGATATGATCCTTCACAGCTCAAAAATCTGTGCTGGTCTTCCCCATGTAGTTGTTTGACTTCTACACATTCTTGGATCACTTCATAAATTAATTTACATTGCTGAAAAATGAGTAAAGCAATCAGCCTTAAACCTTTTCTGAACTGGTTTTGGGGGTCCCCAAGCAGCCCATCAGAATTCCTTACCGGTTAATTTCATCTAAATTCATTTTCTGCCAACCATGTCCTAACATTCAAATTGTAGACAATCGAGATTAAGCAGCAGCCCACAACTAAGAAAGCCTGATTATGACGATACATGCATAAACTCTCACTTGGACAGCTAATAATAAATTCAAGGGGTCATTAGTAGGATCAAACTTCCTGCAGTCACCCCTTACTAGGCACTACGTCAGAATTCAATACTACAGGGGAAGCTAAAAGAATACTTAAACTGATATTTTCAAAACATAACATGGGCAACAACCAAATGGTAACACGAAGAACTGCAAATTGTCTCAGGCAAGGATTCCCATAATCAAGCAAACAGCCATACCTCAAGTAAATGCACTATATGCTTGTATGTAGTACATGTTTACTCTGATTGTAATAGGAGGCTTCAGCAAATTACAATTATTGGTTGTTCCAACCACTAAAAAAGTGGGTTTCTTTGTTTTGCAAATTTACGCACTTTACTCTAATGTTATAAATTTGGCTTTCATTAGACACCCTTTATCTACGAGGGAAAGCTGCAGGTACCATAACTGAAAGCAATTGATGTTATTTACAAGAGGCATCATATCTAGAGAAGCTCCCACTCGGATTCACATAGACCATGACTCGGTAATTTTTGTGTGTTCGATTCCATGGTCCAAGTGGACATCACATTCTCAGTGCTTTCTTGGTGTAATTTGGTTTCAATATCTCCATAATTTGCTGCAAGCTGTTCATACTCCTGTTTCCTTGCTGACCTCATTTTTGAAGAAAACACTTCCTTTATCTTTTTCTGAAACGATTATTTTGTCAATGAGATTGCTAATACACAAACACCCACCCAACAGAAAGATACTGAGAGAGAGAGAGAGAGAGAGAGAGAGAGAGAGAGAGAGAGAACCTTGTATGACTTTGGTTTGCCTTCCAAGTGAGAAACAAAATGAAGGTTGTCTCCATTCACCAAGATACATGTTTCCTCCAACCTTGACTTATCAAAGTGTTGTATGGCTTCCATCTCTGGCTCAACAATCTCATTATTTTCAGTTACATCTGTATTGCACTCACCTGATTTTCCAGTAAAAATTTAATAATATCAATAGAATCAATGAATAAGTAAGAAAATGCAACCTTATGGAGAATCAACATAAAATATCTACGAAATACGCCTTTGTGCGTGAGTTTGGTGGAGAGAGAGAGAGAAAAAACATGGTGTGGATCTGCATCTTCTAGTTCCACAAACTTTAGACATCTTCTAGTTCCCCAAACTTCAGAATCAATATGATAGCATCAGTAGGATGCATTTAATGACAGTGGACAAACTGCAAACAGGTGTGGTTGCATCTTGATTTATGACAAACCAGCAAAAAAACCACTACAACCAAGTTTCCATGAAATTTGGAACGCTAACGAGTATTGTTGACATGTGAATTATCTTTAAAATGAAATGATACCCCAACTCAAAGGAAAACAAAGTGGAAATTTCATCTCAACTTACATCCAAACACACACAAAATTGAAGTCTTCAAGAATGCCCACATTTGTATATGCATTGTCATAGGGTTACTGGTATTTTGCCCTATAAAATTTTTTGAAATTTTCACTTTGCTCCATCAAACCCTTTGTTTTCTCAAAATTGTTGAGATCTACCCCAACCACTAGACAGTGTTTGGTTCTCTGTCTGTAAAGATATCATAATCTCACTTTCCCCTGAATGTTTTTAAAAGTTGCATTTTGCCCCATAAAAAAATTAACTGTCTTCGACTACATGTGTGGCATGTGGGATGTCAACAGACAAAAAATATGTCACCATTTACTAATAGGGGCACATTGCTACTGTTTAAAGAAATGATGAATTTTAACATCTTGCATGGGCCAAAGTGTCATTCGACCTTTAGTACATGTTTTACGCAATACTAAACAGACAAACACTAAATGCAACCTCAACAAGTTATTTTTCCAAATTACTTTAAGAAGAAGTAAAGAAGTTCTACATTAACCACTAAAGGGAAATAGAAATACCTGCAAGGGACATAAGGGTCTCCTCACCTACAGAGTCACTGTACTGTGCATTCATGCTCATGTTGAAGCCTATCTGAGAAACCAACCCACTGTTTGTACTTGTGGATGCAGCTGCCAATGCAGGAATTAAACACACAGCAAACGGNTGGTTTGCCTTCCAAGTGAGAAACAAAATGAAGGTTGTCTCCATTCACCAAGATACATGTTTCCTCCAACCTTGACTTATCAAAGTGTTGTATGGCTTCCATCTCTGGCTCAACAATCTCATTATTTTCAGTTACATCTGTATTGCACTCACCTGATTTTCCAGTAAAAATTTAATAATATCAATAGAATCAATGAATAAGTAAGAAAATGCAACCTTATGGAGAATCAACATAAAATATCTACGAAATACGCCTTTGTGCGTGAGTTTGGTGGAGAGAGAGAGAGAAAAAACATGGTGTGGATCTGCATCTTCTAGTTCCACAAACTTTAGACATCTTCTAGTTCCCCAAACTTCAGAATCAATATGATAGCATCAGTAGGATGCATTTAATGACAGTGGACAAACTGCAAACAGGTGTGGTTGCATCTTGATTTATGACAAACCAGCAAAAAAACCACTACAACCAAGTTTCCATGAAATTTGGAACGCTAACGAGTATTGTTGACATGTGAATTATCTTTAAAATGAAATGATACCCCAACTCAAAGGAAAACAAAGTGGAAATTTCATCTCAACTTACATCCAAACACACACAAAATTGAAGTCTTCAAGAATGCCCACATTTGTATATGCATTGTCATAGGGTTACTGGTATTTTGCCCTATAAAATTTTTTGAAATTTTCACTTTGCTCCATCAAACCCTTTGTTTTCTCAAAATTGTTGAGATCTACCCCAACCACTAGACAGTGTTTGGTTCTCTGTCTGTAAAGATATCATAATCTCACTTTCCCCTGAATGTTTTTAAAAGTTGCATTTTGCCCCATAAAAAAATTAACTGTCTTCGACTACATGTGTGGCATGTGGGATGTCAACAGACAAAAAATATGTCACCATTTACTAATAGGGGCACATTGCTACTGTTTAAAGAAATGATGAATTTTAACATCTTGCATGGGCCAAAGTGTCATTCGACCTTTAGTACATGTTTTACGCAATACTAAACAGACAAACACTAAATGCAACCTCAACAAGTTATTTTTCCAAATTACTTTAAGAAGAAGTAAAGAAGTTCTACATTAACCACTAAAGGGAAATAGAAATACCTGCAAGGGACATAAGGGTCTCCTCACCTACAGAGTCACTGTACTGTGCATTCATGCTCATGTTGAAGCCTATCTGAGAAACCAACCCACTGTTTGTACTTGTGGATGCAGCTGCCAATGCAGGAATTAAACACACAGCAAACGGACAAAGTGAGAACAAATAAAATAAAATAAAGCTAGAAAATAATTACTAGTGGAGTCAAATGATGAGCCACAGCTGGAGCATGAACTTCTTGCCCCTGTTTGCTTCTGCCTACCAGATTTAATCGATATAATACAATCAGATGTTGGAGAGTCAATTATAGCATCAGCCTTAGATCCATTTGCATTTGAAGTATGGTTACAACAGTTTCCTTCCTCTTCTCTTGAGTCACATCCTGCAGCTTCAACCGATGCTGAGGATGGTGTCACCACTAGTTGGTCACAAGCCACTTCATTACTTCCTCTAATTTCACAGGTAGTGGACACTCTGCCCCAATCTTCTGATGCAGGATTGGTTGACCTTGACATCTCAGATTGAGGATGATTGTCACTACTCATAGTATTGCTTTTAACACCCACAATTGAACCTTCATACATTCCTCCATCTTTACATTGCCCTGAATATGATAAAGAATGTGCCCCTTTGACAGAACACCCAGTTGATGATTGCAGAGAAGTATTTACACTGCGACCTCCACTCAAGGATGATGTATAATCAGCACCCACACAAGCAATTACATTAAAATCCTTAGCTGATTGCTCATCAACCTCCATAGGATTTTCCTTCATGCTTGCTTTTGGTTTCCCATAAATCTCAATATGAGAGTATTGGCTCAGAATCAGGTCAGCAGCAGCTACTTTCTCAGGATCTACAGAAGATGGAGGACGCACATCCTGCATCACCTCAGTATAGAACTTTTTCACACTTGCACCAACCGTTTGCACCTGATTTTCAACATATTTAACGGTATCCTGCAGAAAAGTAATGGTTCTAGTTACATACAAACAGCCAACTTCAGTCGAAGAACATAATTGTACAGAGTTGTCACGGTAGAAAGAGTTAAAAGAACGGAATAGACAAATGATTAACAAACCTATTAATTGAATTACACCAGCAGAATGTCTAAAACATTAAATATATATTTATTGTTAAGTTTAGAGAATCGAAGAAGACTTAACACAATATGAAAGACGCAAAGAGAGGTTTAACTTACCCTACCTCTCATTATCAACTTGTATTTATAGTTAACCAATAAACATGCAAAAGACAAGTATACCTTCTACGTGGTATACATATTATAACCTAACATATTATAATATAGTAATACTCTTAACACTCCTCCTCAAGCTGGACTATATATATCATATAATCCAAGCTTAGAACAAATAACTATAAGACGAGTACAACTCAATACTTTGGTGAACATATCTACAAGTTGATCTTCAAATCTCACAAATGGAATTGCAATATCTCCATCAAATATTTTGTCTAGAATAAAGTGGCAATCAACTCAATATATTTGGTCCTCTCAAGAAATTTTGGAAACAGAAAAAAAAGTGTCCTCATAATCAACACCACATAGTTTGCCATGTACATCCTAACAACAATCAATAGTGTAGTTGGCATCACAACAGTGAGTACATCAACGAGTAGAAGTACGGCCTCCATGACCTCCAAATACGGCCTCCACTACGACTTCCCCTACCGCAACGACCACTATAATTGTCACGGCCACCTCGAGCACTATCAATATTGCCATTAAAGACAACAAGAGTTGAGCGATCAGTAGACAAGCCATGATCAATACCTTAAGTCGACTGGCCATTCGATAGTGTAGCACGCTGTAAATGGGAAAAGGCCTCATGGAAGAATAGAGGTACCCAAAATCTGAAAGTGAATAGGCTCATACTTAGGTTTCAAACCAACCAAGAAGTGAACGTCTAAATCCTCGCGTGGTGAACAAATGGTAATTCTTCAATTCCTCACAAACACTCCTCATTTGAGAGTAATAGTCTTCAAGACTCAAAGTAGAAAAATTTAGAGTTGCTGCAAAAAATATTGCTTGCACACCTCATAGGCACAAGTTAAATTACCTATCCCAGAATACGTAGCTAAATGATCCCATATTTCTTTAGTCATGTCGAGATAAAGCAAAGTAGAGCTAATACTGGACTCAATGCTATTCAATAACAATTGTTAAATCTGAAAATCTTCCAGTTCCCACTGATCATAACCAGAGTCATGTTCTTCGGATGTAGTTCCCACCAAATACTTTTTAAGACCTTTGTCTTTAAGAAACACTTGAATCAATCAGAGCCATAAAACAGAATTGGTCTCATTGAGCTTAACTAAAGTCGGGGGACAATGGAGGACCGTGGGAAAAAATGTGGATGGTAAAGGTGGGGCAAGAGGTGTAGTTTCAATCTTGGGTTCCATAGTAATACCAGCAATTGAAGGACCAACCAAAGAAGATGAGAGAATGCACAACCATCACAAAGCATCTAAAACTCGACTGTTATGCCTCCGTGGGCACAAGGCTTTCACAAAACACTGAAGTAAAAGGCTAAACCGGTGCCCAAGGGAGCTAAACCAAGGAGAACACTGCTGAACCAGACCAAAATAGTCGCTGAACCAGCTGCCCAACGCTCAACCGACGCTAAACCGGTCAAAAAACATGAAAGGCTGAGCCGGAGGGAGAAACAACTGAACTGGTCCGAAACAGGGTGAACCGGACCTGAAGCAAGCTGAACCAGTCTGAAACAGGAACTAAACTGGACCGGCTTGATTAAACCGACTGGTCTGATCTATTTGGACTACTTCATGGGCTTCACTGATAGTGGGCTGGATTAAGTGGGCCTATGTTAGGCCCAAAATGAAAAATAGGTTGTATTAACAATCCAAAGCCACAACCCAGTCAGTGTCGTATTCTAACTGCAAGGGTTAGAGACCCTAGTCTGGTGGTGCACATAACCTCCACTACTCACCACCAAGCAAGTACGTCAACGACCACCATTGTGGCGTTGACTTCCCGCGACCACCACAACCACAAAAAGGCCTCCACTACGAAATCCCAAACCACAACACCACGAACCAAATGTCAACAATTCACTCCGGCAACAACAAACCACACAACGATCATCACTGCGGTGTTAACCTCCGACAAACACCACAACTATAAACCACACAACAAAAACCACAACCAAAGATCTGCGCAGCCGTACTGCGTCTCAAGGGCAAGACGTTATTGCCTGGACAGCCATGAACACAAAGAAATCCATCACCTACCACAGTCGATGCCAACGCAAACACAAACCAGGCAACCATGGTCGTGGGTGCACCAAAGACGAAACAAGGAAGGAAGGGGGAAGAAGGCAGAGAGAATTGATAATTTAATTAGATTAATCTTAAGAAAAAAAAGATGAATTGGGTTAATTGAAGAGTAATTTTGGATCTAATTATTCTGATACCTTGTTAAGTTTAGAGTATAGGAGAAGGCTTTAACACAATATGAGAGAGACAAAGAGAGGTTTAACTTACCTTACCTCTCACTATCAATTTGTATTTATAGTTAACCAATAAATATGCAAAAAACAAGTATACCCTTTGTATGATATACATATTACAACCTAACATTATTATAGTAATATAGTAATACTCTCAACATTTATAAATGAAGACAAGGACAGACACAAACAATTACATGGGGAGGAAAGATGGTTAAGCTAGCTTATGTGAAGAGCATGCTAAACACAACCAGTGACTACAGTAGGGGAAGATTACTGCACATAACTTCCATAGAGATAACAGTTATACTATGCCTACTAAAGTAATCCTAATACAATAATAAAAAGCACTGAACTTCCAATCCATTTGCATGCAGTACCTCCCCATTTGTGAGGTTCACCGGGTCATACCTCAGGCTTAACCATAGAAACTTTAAAAGGACCAAAAAAGAAGCCTATTCTGGCATGAGCTCGAGAATTGCAAAGAAAAAAAGAAGTATGCCAGAAACAGGGCTTTACCTGGTACATGATCTCCTCCGCCTCCAAACACATTGCTTCGAACTTCTGATATATATTCCCAACCCAGGTTATACCTTTCAAATCCATGCTGGAATATATCTCAAACTTCCGTGTGCTTCTATTCACTTTGGGCTTTAAAATGTTGGTACTGCTCGACAGCAAATATTCATATAAAATTGTTGTCAATGCTCACACAAAATAAATAGGCTAGATGATATGTTATCCTGCAACAGTTTGTGTGATGCTTAAGCAGAACAGAGAGATTCTATCACTGATCATCAACACTAAAACAGTTTGGAAGCGGAAGGGAAATTATGCCAGAGGTAGAAAAGTTCTAGTGGAGTCCCACTCACACAACAAGACAACCTAAGCATGAAATGGCCAATTATTAGAGAAGCAATGCCTGGTCAAAATATCAATCTGAAAAGGAACTGCCAATTTCCTACCTCAGAAGCAATGACTTATCTATTATCAATGACTACTTCAAACTTAAAGGCTTTGTTGGCGTAATCGGCCCAAAATCAAGATTACCAAACACCAGTGCAGCTAAAAGTATGTGGTCCACTCAGAAAGTCTGACTTGTTCCTTACACCATAAAACCACCACCCAACGAATCATTAATTATTGTTATTTCTCTACCATTATAACAATTAGGGTTTGAAGTTTTTTCACTAGAACATCTCAAAACCTAAGAAGTTACATGAAACACGAAAGTGAAAAGAATAATGTTGTGGACGCAAGTGCAAAAATAAATGCGGTTGATTTTTTTACCAGAAAAATGAGGTAGAACTGCTAAAATCAAAGTTTCTCCACTACCACCACCAATATCAGACAAAATCTGAGAAAAGATGTCAATGTAATTTCAGATACTCTGAGAAATATGTTTATATTTAAGCATAACTAAAACGGGTGCAATTTAAATTTACTCTAGAATAAAATATCAGGGGCAGGCATAGCAAGAAATGAGTAGGTGTACATGTATATGACACTGTAAAGGATTCTACGAGTTTATACTAATATGTTACAAGCTATATTCATAGTAATTGAAAGTCACACCTAGGAATAAAAGAGAAGTCCCAGGTCTGGTGGATCACAAAAGCAAAAGAGAAAAGAAGATAGGGAGGAGAGAAGACATTGATTTGACTTAATTCTAAAAATATCAGCTATATTTAGTGGTTTAGCATGCCACAACCAATAAGTATCTTCAGAAACACACACACATACACATAAGTAAACTAAAAGGCTCTTATTACAGGATTAAGTTCATTGGATATATTTTTTGCCATCTTTCTGGACCTCGATCATTAAGGATTTTGAGGACATGCCGCTATTTTGTACTAGGGGACGGTGAGGGCCGTCTAACAGCCGCCCGAAAAGGAACTGCAGCAATCTCGAATAGGAATCCTACGACAATAAATAGAATTCCCATAAAAATACCATTTGATCGAGCAAAAGTGATTTCGTATCCGGTCAAAATCTTGCTTCAATACAAAAGTTACTGAAGCACCATTTTTCCAGCAAATGATTTTGGAGTGGATAACAAGAAGAGGTCTGGGTAGAGCTCTTAGCTGCTCCTATGTAGAAAAAAATGGTTGTCATTGGCTGGCTCCACATTCTGAAAACATCCAGAATGGCCAGTTTTGCTCATCCAAAAGGGGACTTTCCTGGATCAGATGGGGAAGGCTACGAGGGGTCCCCAAACGTGCAAAAAACTTTTACGCACCTTTATATTATCAATATCTAGAAGCCTAGTTTTTCCTGAAGCAGCAACCAACTTAGCAACATATGAACTTCCTCCCTCCAACCAACAACAACAAAGTAAATTAACATAAAATGAAATAAATCCTCCATGCCTCTAATTTTGTCTCCCGGCGCAT